ATGTAGGTCCCTTGCCCCTTTTTTTCCCCCCCCCCCCCACGAATTTCCTCATTTTCCTATTTTTACTTATAAGATCCGTCTGTAACCAACTTATACCTTGGTGGTATTCCCTCAACTTCGGGCTCTTTTGAATTCTGTCGGCTTTTTCTGTCTGTTCCTGCTACAATTTTCTCAAAAATCCTTCATGTTTTTTAATCCCTACTGTTGATTCTTTCCGTTCATATCCTCTATCTCGCTTTTTTTCTCGTCTTTATTTTACGTGTCCACGACAACCAGCATGTTTACTGTTTACTTTTCGTAACTACCAACCCCGTTTATTCCCTGCCTTATCATTCCTTTTTCCTTATCCCTCCTCAGCATCAAACGTCCTCCTTTGATTCCCCAGTACCTATTCGTTCATTGTTGTTTCTTTTCCGTTAGTTTACTCAGGACCAGTCGGACAACTCCCTCCTAACTACCTCGACTAGCTTTACCGATCTGGTATCAGACGCCAACACTTCCATCGCGTCTAACGACAGCCCCCCGCCGTCAACGTCAGCTTCCACTCCTGAAAATTCTCTGAGCGCCAATTCCTCTGCATCTGGCAATTACATGGTTCGTGTTGGCCTCGCTCACGGTGGCCAATTGCTCGCGGAATATCAGGTACTACCTTCCGGTTATTTTGATTTACCGAGGTAAAATGTCACTATGGTTAACCACTCCAGTGGTTTTGGCATGGTTTTAAACTCCACGGTTCGTGGTTGGCAACTGCTGTCGGATTTAGAAATTTGCTATTTTTTCCCTAGAAGAGGTGTTTTGCCTTGACCGGGTGCTCGCTAGCCTACGATGGGTGTTGTCCACTGTAGGCACAAGTTAGCGCGGTGTTTTCCCACTAAAATTAGCCCGAATCGTTACTATCACGATCGCCTTTTTATGCCCACAATCTAATTTGTGCTAAATTGCTTTTAGTTAAGAGCTACTTTTGCGTTTCGCATTCAATCCTTTTGATATGCCAGACCAGTTTCCGTCTGATCTTCCTTTAATGATTGGTCTGGTACACAAAGGCTTCTAGTGTTTTTTTTTTCGAACATAAAAAAGGCCTGATCCATTTAACGCAGACTTGTGATCGACACAAGCTCGGTTCCACCTTCAGTTAATTTTATTCACAAAAATCTTCCACTTTTGTGGAATCTCCAAGTCACAGGTGTCTGTCATGTGATGATTTCGCGGTTGCCAATTTCAATTTACAATCCTCCGGTTCCTCCATCGCGAATCTGATGCGTTGACTTCTCTTGGTGTCACCTGCTATCCCGAGAGCAGTCCTCTTTCAAAGCTCCTTTTAGACTTTTTTTTCTCAAATTGTAGCCAGATTTAAGTGAAACTGACGTTTATTTGCTTTGTGTTAACCCGTATCCTCTAAACGAAGCACCACTTTGGTAATCTGTTCTGACTTTTACAAATTTTGGAAGTGGTTGGTTTACCATCAGAGCACTGCAAGTGACTTCATTCGTAGCGCATGGTTCTGCTATTGGATCACTGCGGTTTGTAAGCCTTTTTATCTTCATTGTAGAACACCCGAGATGCAGCAACCATTGGGAGCGGTGGAGCTACTCTAACGTGGAACCAGTCCCTCAACTTCCGTCTCATTTACTCCAATCTTCCCGTAGCCACGAGGGTTTGCGTTGTTCTCCTCCAAGTGAAACGTCGTCCCGGCAGAATAGTAAGCTGTTAACGCTACTTTCTGAAGCGCAGATTGCAATGGGCAAGCGCATAGGTCTCTTTCGAACCAGACTTCACAAGACCGAGTATCCCATTTGTACCCACTCTTTTTTACCTAGAGCTTTTTCGACTTCCTTGCAAAAAATGGAACCAGTTATGCGTAATTTGTTTCATTACGGGTAGCGAGCCACTGCGGCGTTTTAACGCACTGTTGAAATTGTTTGACCGCTTATTTGAGTCCCCAGAAGCACTAATGGACGTGGTGGTACAAAGTTTCAAGCTATGACGGACCGGATGACTGCTTTAGCTGTCCCCCTGAAAGCCTGACAAATTGAACAGATTTTCATCTACTACACTTCCTGTGTTCCCTACCCAGATGGAGTTTCCTGTTGGTTGGGCGAATATGAACCTGTTTGATCATAACGGATACCTCGCAACAGGCAGACACTCCCTTCCGTTGTGGCGCAGCAACTTCACCTCGCCAGAAACCGTGACAACCCACCAGCTCAACCTCACTGGCTCTGTGGCTGAAAACCCCGATCCGGAATTCACTCTTGTGGCAAGTTCGCTGTCGGTTTTTCATGCTTGCAGATTCTGAAAATCACTTGTACACGTTTTCACGCTAAATCCTTCCTGATTTGCAGTAACACCTACCAGAGATCACCTTGGAGTTATCCATATGCTTCAGCCTATTCGCAATGAAACAAGCTAGCGTGACTCTATTCGATTGTGTTTGACTTAGTGCATATGTAATGCCCGTTTTTACTACAAGTGTTTTAAGTAGTAACATCGTTTCTTACCGTAGTCATTACCACGATTAATATTATCTTACTTATGAATTTTGTTACTCGAAACAACAAATATAATGCGGTAGATTCCTCGTCCAGCAAACCCTTGTCGGCGTTTTCGCCACCTTGATGTTGAGTGAAATGATTTACGAAATCGTGAATTTTGCGTTTGTGCCCCCAGCCACTACAGCACGTGGTCAAAAAAAAACTTGTTTTCGTCTCATACACACTTGAGTCGAATTTTCAGCCTTTATTTGCATGATTTGTTCTTTTTTTGAAATTCATGGATTATTTCTTGTCGTGTCCCAACGTAAGTGGTATTTTGGCATGATCCAAGCCTCAAACGAGATGTCAAACTGCGTAATACAATTTTAGTCTAGCCGTTATTCCATGTTCACAAATTTTCTTGATTTAAAACATCTGTCAAATTATACATATAGTGATTTACATAAATGAAAGTCCACAAGGTCGAGTAATCAGTTTTAATCCAAGTTTGGTGGCAATTGAGACCAGTCCGCTACATATGTATTGGAAATCCAAGTGAGTTAACACAGTTTATGCTAAATATCGGTGAAGGGAAGCTGACCTTCTCTGTCTTCAATCAGTCGACTTGGATTACAAATTGTTTGGTTCTCCACCAGTGCTCTGTAAACATAATGGCGTTGCGATGGACGATGCTTATTTTTGAGCCCAGCAGATTCCCGTATTGCTTAAAGTAGACCAGGCATGGTTTGCGCGAATCACGACTGCATGGCGTGGAAGGGAGGTCCCTTTCGCCTGTAACTCGGAAGTGGTGAGGAGGCAACCCTTGGCCCAAGTCGACTGTACTTTGTGTGCAATGCTCAATGAATGGAAGTGTGATCGTGAGACGGTGGTGGGGAGTCGTGTGGGCAGACGCCTGTGTGCACATTGACAGCACGAAGAGAAGCTGCCGTGGCAGAAGACAGATGTCGGTGGCCTGGGATAATGGATGTCCATTGTGTGTATCGTAGACTTCGGATGCTTGAATGCGCATACCTTCATAGCAGCCGTTCTGGGATGTTCGCTCCCAAAAAGTACCTTTTGTGGAGGGTTGGTTTGAAGTCGTTGACTGTCACTTGGTCAATAAAGTAAATGCCTTGCCTAACAAACGGTGTAATCGGTGGAGCTGTGAACGGCCGTTGTGGATTTTTCAAGTCATTTCACGCAGTCGAATTGTAGATACCTCGAATTTTCACTGTCACGATTCGAAAGACCTTACTTTGCCTTAAACTCTTATTAAAAATACTGTCAAGTTCACACAAGTAGATCAACTTCAACTATAAATTATCCCGCTGAAATTACAAAATCGATATTTTTGACCCCATAAATTTTCCTCAATAACTCCTCTTTTGTCCATTACCAATTCTTTGCTCATACTTAGCATCTTGTGTTTATATTACTTTAAACATATTTGTGTTTCAACCCACGCCGTACTTTTGCCGCGTCGTACCTTTTACGGCATCCACCTCCAGATCGACTTCTGCCATCCTAGTAATCAACAAAATCGTGTTCGTTTCCCCCTCTCGCGTTTCGTCCCTACTATCCGTGGCAATGCGGTGAACACGACCACATCTTCCTCAATTGACTCGTCAGACAGCGATCTGCGCGTTATCCGCGACCTGCTTCAACGCGATCCGTTTTACGAACTATCTGAGCAAGACAAGAGTTCGCTGTGGCGTGCCAGAGACTCTTGTTGCCTCCGTCTTTACCCCTCAGCGTCACTGCCATGGCTGGTGCAGGCCGTGGCCTGGGAGAGGCGGGAGCTGGTGGAAGAATTTTATCGTCTGTTGGCTAGGTGGCCGCGGCCCCTACCCGTCGAGACTTGTCTCCAACTATTGGGCGTCGCAAGTTTATCCAATGCATCCTCTGTTGGGGCTTACGGGGAGCCTAGTGGGAGTCAACCGGTCGACGGAGGACGCACGACCGGAGTACCAGACCCCCTTGTCCGTGACATCGCTGTTCAGGGTCTACAGGCCGGCTTGTCCAATGTTGATCTTGCGGACTACCTTCTACAACTTGTGCAGGTATGACGATTTGTTTCGTCTTCGCCAAGCATATTTAAAGACTGCCAGCCGTTGAAGGTAGCATTCTTTACTTTTATGAGCTTACAACTTATTACTAACTTAACCAAAAAATGTGCTTGTGAGAAGCTGATTAAGTTAAAGCAGACTGGTTGGACAACGAAGTTTTGGGTGTCAAGTGCTTTAAATGCTACCACTACTTTTCCCTTCCAGGTAGTACGAACGGAGGCCTTTCTGGTGAACCCACTAACGTGCTTTCTCTTGCAACGGGCACTGGACTGTCCTACTCTCATTGGTGTGCGTCTCTGTTGGCACCTGCGGGCGCAAATCCACAACCCTGACGCGCGCCTACGCTTTGCCCTAATTTTGGACGCTCTTTGCCGGGGCTGCGGACCTCAGCTTCTGTCCTTCATCTACGAACAGACTACGGCTCTGCATCGTTTAACTGATCTCGCAGTTTCAGTCAAAGTAAACAAAATCTTCATGCCGCCTTTGTTTTGATAATATGCGGGCTTGTAGATGAGGGTGCACCGGCGAAATGCAACTCCTTCCTGAGTATAACCAGGGCACGTTGGTGACATTTTCAAATCGTGAGGCCTGAACGGTCTGCCTTCGACGAATAACTTGAAACCAACGACGTTTGGGTTCTAATCCTGTACACACATAGTACTTGCCAATAACTCGATACGTTAAAAACGCAGTCAGGTTTCTAATCTAATATAAGAAATCTAAGATAACCATGTTTTCGAAAAATTGAGAGCGATTTCTGTAGACCATTTCTAACAAACACCTGTGATGCTAATCGGCTACCTACAAGCCAAAAAGTAACCTTTATCCAAATCATCTCGGTGAAATCCAAGTGTTGATTTTTTAACATGGGGACGTTGATTAAAACATCTGCGAAAATTTATCTTTTCCACAGTGCTTCGCAGAAGACGAAGAGCAGCGATCTTGGTTCAAATCAGAGCTCGTTCGCAGCGAAGTGAGACAGGACCTAGAAAACATCCTCTCTCCTCTCCGCTTCTCTATCAAGCTTGGCGCCATCTTAGAGCAGCAGTGCACAGTGAAGCGGTCGAAAAAACGTCCTCTGTGGATTGTGTGGGCCAATCCCGACAATCTCGGTCTCCGGCATCACAAAATCCACCAGCTCATTTTTAAGCACGGAGATGACCTTCGACAGGACATGCTCACACTCCAACTACTTAAGGTGCTTTTAACTAGTGTTACGTTTATGGATAGCGAATGCGTGACTGTGTGGTGTCGTGGAACTGGCACTCTTTTTAAATAATGAAAAAAAAAACACCCGAATTCAGGTACGAAGTGTGTCCACTCAAAGTCCACTCTCAAATTCTAGTGGTTATTATGGCGATTCTTGAGGTCTTGCTACGTTCATATATTTGCGACATCAATTGACACTAGAATAAGTAAACCAGCTGAATTTTTGTGCATAAGGGCATTTACGCCTTCCGCGTTAGGTGATGGACCGAATCTGGAAAGATGAGGGTCTCAACTTGGACCTGACTACGTACGGCTGTCTCGCCACGGGTGACGAGATGGGCCTGATTGAAGTAGTTCGCAATTCCCAGACCATCATGTCGATCCAGGGTCAAAGAGTGCGATCCGCCATGCAAATTGACTCCTCGCAACTGCATAAGTGGTTTCTCCAAAAAAAGGCCCCGCCACTGGGCTCGGAGTTGGCCTATGAAACAGCAATTAGACGCTTCACGAACAGCTGCGCTGGCTACTGCGTGGCAACCTTCGTTCTAGGCATTCGCGATCGACACAATGACAACATTATGGTCGATGACTCGGGCCGACTTTTCCACATTGACTTCGGACACATTCTGAACAACAAGAAGAAAAAATTCGGCATCACACGCGAACGCGTGCCGTTCGTGCTGACAAGCGATTTTGCCTGTGTGATTGCAAGAGGTCAGTTTGATTCAAATCTTTTGTAACTAGCGAATTTTAGACCGACAAACGCCCCCATGGTCAGCTTCTTTTTTACTGAGACAATGCAATGTTTACTCGTATATTTTAAGACAAGCGTTTCTTTTGTTTGTCATACTATTTTCTGTAGTCAATGCGTGGAATATGGTGCTGGCCTCAAAGGTGTTTTTGATATGGACAACGTTAATGTATATTACCCAGAATCAATCTCCTCAACTAAGGATATCACTCGTACAATTTTACAAAAAGAAGCTTACTGCCTTCTATTGTAGGCGAAGAAAAGCCCTACCGCAGCAAAGGCTTCATTGAATTTACGAAGCTTTGCGAAGACGCTTACCGAGTTCTCCGCCGTCACTCCAGCCTCCTCCTCACCCTACTTGCCATGATGCTGCCTTCCGGGTTGCCAGAACTAACATGTGTTGGAGATCTCGAGTACGTCCGGAAAACCCTCGCCGTAGAACTCCACGACGAGGAGGCCCTGAACTACTTTAATGCCAAGTTTAACGAGGCTTACAACGGAGCGTGGACCACAAAGATTGATTGGTTCGCTCATTGGGTTCGCCGGTGATAGCTCGTCTTTCTCATTTACCCTTTCCCCAAAGATTTGTTGCAGACTTGACAGACACACCAGTTTTCGGCAATACCAAAGTCATTGATAGAACTCTTTACGAAATCTTACACTCTGCACGATCGCTAACGGCTTACGGCTATCCGAATCCCTTTTCGCTGTCTAGGAGTGTACCGTCCCTGCGCCACCGACAGCATATTTGTAGGACGGGTACGTTTAGGGCTCTTATCGCTATTTTGTTTTGCTCAGGACCAGCGCACTGTCTTTGGTCTGCGTCAGACATGCCGTCGATTTTCCTAAGTTACATGCGCGCATCTACACTTGGACTATTATGGCGGTCTAAAACCCATTAAAGAGCCCAATTTTCAGTGGTAGTCATTTGATAATGACTACCACCACCTAGCGATTTACCCAGTTTGGGATACAACTAGGCCAAGCAAGACAACACATTCTCCATCCCGATTTACGGGTGTACCTTGCGCAGATGTTAACGCACTACGAAGCACAGCACAGCAAGCCTTGTAGGCAAAAATTATAATTTTGGCCGCCAAATCTTGGCAGCAATCAATTTGATACAGCACCACACAAGGAGAAAATGCACACCAGGCAAGAGAGCGCATCAACAAGGAGTGGGAGCGTGTGGAGACGACAAGCAACGAAAGGGGTTCTATCTGGGGACATAACTAATGGCGCGGGGCGTGGTTTCTGATGCAAGTTGTCATTGCACGCAGTAGTCCTTGAAAGTGTTCACGGTTCTAATGAGAGTTGTAGTTTGCCTATTTCTCAGTTGGGTATAGGTTTGTAGAAAAGTGTAGAGACGAATTTTTGCCGGTAGCGTGTAATCACACTTAGGACAATAACTCCGTCCTGAAATATGATGTTAAACAGAAGTCCATATAAATGGCTTTACTTAACTGTAAAATAAAACAATCTCGTCTAACAATTGAACTACAAATGAAGTATTGGCAAAAAAGTAGATCCGGCTTCTGCTGGTATGGAGATTGCATGCTCAAAAATTAAGGAGTTGCACAAACTGTATGCTTTAATCCTTCAGGAGGAAGAGGGTCGCACTCACTAGGAATATGCCCTGTAATTCTACTTCCACGCCTATATCTTCACCAGGGCTGAGAATAGTGGCGTATTTCCTCTAGAAATTGGCCTTACTAACTTGCTCACACAGCCCCATGCGTATCATAAATGCCACAAAATCGGGCGTATTTAAGCAAACCTTAATGGAGAGAGCGTAGAGATGATTGACCATGACGTGATTTGGGGGAGGCAGAAGGTTGGGGTCACAGTGCACTCCAACGTCTTTGTTCAGAATACCCTAAACGAGAGAAGTAAGAAAATCTATCAATGATTTAATAGCCACCAAAGGAACTGGCAAAGTTGATACCTTATCAGGGAACCGGCGTTATTGAGAAAACAAAACCTGGCATAGCACGCAGGTCTGGCTTGGTAATGGAGCCTTAGCAAGGGAGGAATAAAAAACGGGACGTGGAAGTTCCCCGGGGTGTCCAAACGCAAGTTATGGGAATGATCAGTTTACTGACCTGGAGGAGTTGGGGCGGGAGGAGTGGGGGTTGTGTGATAGACCCAACTCCCGGAGCAGGAGGGGCATGGGGCAGTTTACGAGGAAGAGCAGAGAAAGCACTGTTAGCGTCGCGATGGGCGTAGACGTCCATGGGGGTCTCGGGTATGTAGCAGCCGTAGTCACTTGGTGGTGTCCAACTCTCAGTCTGAAAAGAACAGTCGCCAAGCCATCAATAACCGCCGATGTACATCGCGAATACCATGGGAGTTAATCGATTAGCCATTCGTACAAATTGATTACACAGTAGTTTCAACAAGAGCAGCGAAATGTGTCTTGTGGAAAAAGTGGCTCACACAGGACAACTTATGACCATTTTATCCGCTGATTTCAAGTATACATTAAGTTTAATAGAACGGAAATTACGTGTGCACGTTTTAACGCTTATTATCAACATTCAAGCGTGATTCGACAAAGTTTTGCACTTCTTGCCACGTTGGTTAAACATAAATTCTAAGCCCACTCTAACTGACCTTAGTCCGTTACCGTGGAACATTTATGTTTGTCTTCGTGGCATTATGGTCTTAATAGGAATGGGTCTGGGAGGAAAACACCACCCACGCCACCACCAACATCATCATCATCATCTTTTTAAAAAAAAGTACTCGAAAAAGCAAATAAAGTCCGTTGACGTGGAAAGGCAGCGACAGCTGAACTAAATTTGGCCGCATTCTGTAACTCGTCGAAAGGGACCAGAAAAGGACTTATCAACACCCTGAGGAAATGAATGCTTCCCTCCACAAGCAAATACCTTACAAAAGGGCAGTTGGACGCGAACAGGGGGACCATGACATACACGTTACCCTAAAAGGGACATGGGGCGTTGTTTACGTAACGGCAAAAGAATTAGCAGTGAAGCTGCGACTGGGATAAAAATGAAAACAGGCAAGATTTCCTTTACACTGAAGTCAGATATTGATTTACAGAAGACGCATTAGGCGTGCCGTGGCGTATTTAACGGAATTAAATTAACCATTTTATTTAAGTTGGATAAGTCAGATTGTTTACAACCTTGCCACAAAATCTGATTATCGTGTCAGCATTGAAGCTCTCGAATACCAGATACAAAAATTTAGGCAACTTCAGCCTGGTAAAAACGTTTGAATGTTTTCTTCCGCTATCGTTGATTGCAAGGTAGATGCAGATGCGTTTACGCGGTGGAGGGCAAACCCCAGTGATGCACCGAATAAAAGTTGAAAAGGGATTAGCTTAGAAAATACTTTCTGCAGCTACTTTTACCCAAAGGGGGAAAAGAGTTGAGACACTGTCGGCATCACGTGGGGCTTAAATACAATGGCAAATTTACGAAAGTAACAAACGGTCTGCATGTAATTTCGGTAGTGTACCGTTAACAGAAAAAAGCTTCTGGATATTTTTTTGAATTCTAAGTAGAACTTTTAAAGTCAAATTTGAATTTACGTCATTATCTTATACCACATCACATGACCTATCAACTACCCTGTACTCCTCCATCAGATTGTGCACACACGAAGCACTTCCCAAATTTGTTGTGACGGTTCGTCGCCCCTTTCACTGGGCTTCACCAACCTCTTCCCTACCACCAGTAAAATGCTTATTCGTGAACTGTTGTTTTTGGTAGCACAAAATCACTTATAGCCTTTTGCAATGTTAAAAATAAAATGATTATATTCATTATAAACTTGTGAGGAAAGTAGGCGTTCATCTCACTAGTAGACACCTGGATTTAATGAAAAGCTATTACTTCTGAAGGTCCCTTCAAGTGACAACTTTGGAAGCGGTATGATTTAAACATCAAATTCCAGAAGTTCGTTTATAAAATGCTTTAATCGAATGAAAACGCACATCGGAACTTGCTCCGGTCGAGTCAGGTTTGTGCTTGCTATTGGCCATGTCCTGCTCAAGGGCATTCAGAAAGTTGAAGTCGGATTCTTTCACATCGATGACGTTGTTCCTGGTACCATACTCATTATCAACCATTGGCTACGGTTAAAAGAAAATGAGACGGTACAAAAATAAGAAAATGAACTCTTGAGTGCATGCCACAGTCACAGCACCAACAGAAAGCCATGTATCTAACCATACAATTTCCGATATATCCAGATCAAATTCTAACGATGTAGTGTGCTCACATATAGTAAAAGAAAAAAATGCTAAACTTGGTTTGGTTAGTTGATATAAGTGGAGCAAATGCAGGCCCTCAATAACGGGTTGGATTTACCTAAATGCAGGTAAATTAAAAATAGCACACACAGATGGCGTTTAAAGGGAAAACATACAACGCAATGGTTATAAGAACATCAAAAATAACCAAAATCTTAACACGTCATAAAATAGAGGAGCGATAAATCGCAGAGAGGCACCTGT